TGTGTGTGTGTGTGTGTGTGTGTGTGTGTACATATATATGTATATACACACACATATTTATTTATTTATTCAGCTTACATGCCAAGAAAGAACTTGGTTTATAATATTACTCTAACCACACTCATCCACACCTTATACCTAACTAGTTACCTGGCTCTAACCACACTCATCTACACCTTATACCTAACTAGTTACCTGACTAGCAAACTGCCGAATTATATATGATACTATTTTAATATATAATTTATAAAAATTGACAAATCAAAACAACAATGTCTTATTATTTCTATCCTACGTATCATAGCCTTTTATATCTGATCTCTTTCTTATTTATCTACTATTCTTATATTACTTGCGCTAACCCCCGAGGAAGATTTTATAACTTCTTATCTCTCTGTTGTTCCCTATTTAATATCCTTTTCTTTTACACTATTACCTTTTTCCTCTTTTCTCTTTTTCATTTCTATTTCTCTTTCTTTTTGTAATTTCCGCAGTATACTGCTTTTCACCATATCTAGTTGTTCATCGTTCTATAGCCTGCATTACTAGTCTATATTTCTCTATTTTATCCTTACCTAATTCCATAAATCATTTATTTATTATCCTATGACATTCTTTTATATAATGATTTATACAGTCTTTTACTGTTCCAAAGAAAACACATTTTCTATATAATCAATATTTATTCGCTTCTCTCATATTCCCGCATCTTAGTTTTATTAAAACTCTAAGCTTTACCTTCCATCCTTAACTTTCATAAATTTTTCATTTTTAAATAACTGGGCGGGTCCTTCTTTTGTGCCAATCATTCTATAACATTTATTATATCTCGCCTCTGAAATTTTATTATACCCCCATTGTCTTTGTATATCCCTTTCCTTATTCATTATCTTTACCTCCAAGTTTGCTCCTTTATCCTTCCATCTTATATGAGTGAATATATAAGTTATTCATATTATAAAAATTTAATTAGGATTATATTTTCTGATAATATGAATAACTTATATATAATCATAAAATATTGTACATAATTAATCTTTATAATTAATTTTTTTCTGTAAAATGAAAAAGGATATGCAAATGGCGGAGACGAAGCAAGAAGATGCCAAGTTAAACACAGACGAGTCAAATCAAAAGGACTGTAAAGACAGGAGAAGAAAAAGGTCTCTTAGCCCATTGGAAGTCCATCAGACGTCTCCTGCTCCATACAAACCCGAGGAAGAGCCAGATTTTGATGAATATGCTGTAATTTTATCATATTGTAAGCACTCACATAAATTTTATGTATTTCTGAGCAATTGCTTTCATTTTAGTATATATAACAATATATATATATATATATATATATAAAATAAATACACATATTCATATATTTATATACATTAATATATTTAACAAGATTAATAGGAAGTAATATATTTCTCTCAACTTCCAGACGATTCGGACTTAAATTTAGTCATCAGTAAGGATGGATTTTATTCTGCAACACCTATGCACAATGACGATCTCTGTCACATGTGGGCCGGCACGAGAGCGTCTTACGGTTTTGCAAACGGAAAGGTGTACTACGAAACTAAAATTACAGAGAACTGTCCCACTATCGTGCAAAATAAAGAGCAGTTGCACATGCTCAGGCTTGGTTGGTCGACTCTCGACGCGTCGATGCAACTTGGCGAAGAAAGATTCAGTTACGCGTACACGAGCACCGGGAAGAAAGGTACGGACAAGGGGTTCACTGATTACGGATCGTGCTTTGGCAAGGATGACGTGGTAGGATGTTATCTTGATTTGACACCTGACAACACCGTGGAATTGTCTTATACGCTAAACGGCAAGGAACTGGGCTTCGCGTTCAGCATCTCCAAAGAAGAACTCGGTGACGAGCCGCTTTTCCCACACATCTTGAGCAAAAACTGCACATTCGTCTGCAACTTTGGACAAGAGAAAACATGGTGCGAGAATATTTCGGGTTACGTTCCAGTGGGCGTCGTTGAATTGAAGGACCGGGTTGCCGGTCCGCGCAGACCAGATAGGAAAGCCGATTGCGAGATAATAATGATGTGCGGCTTACCGGCGGCGGGAAAAACCGCATGGGCGAAGAAACACGCGGCCGAGAATCCAGACAAACGCTACAATATCTTAGGAGTTGATAACTTGGTTGAGAAGACAGGGGTAAGTGTTTCAAAGCCGAATGTGAGCCTTGTAGAAATGGTTGATTTATCAATTCAAGGTAATGTTTTGCCTTAAGTAATGTACAATGCCTTTCTTGTGTCTAGAATATTAGACCTGTATTCTGAGAACGTGCTTACAACGATGTTAGCACGCATATATATTTAAGGCTTGAAATACAAGACGATATTATGTGTTAGTTAAGACAAAAACTTAAGGCATAAAACATTGTCTTGAAATTATGAATCAGCTTTTCTTCCAAGACACTATCTCAAAATAAAATTTTATATATATAACACGGTTATCTGACGTATTTTCCACCCGACAGGATATCGCTCTCTGTCAAGAACAGAACCAGTCTCGGCGGGACGTCATTATCGACAAATGTAACCGTGCACTCGACGGATTGTTGGACGTGGCTGGTGGCAGAAGACGTAATTATATTTTAGACCAGGTAAAATACAACGTGTAAACACGAGTTTTGTGGTTGAATGTCATAATGAGAAAAATATTTTTTGCGCCACACAGAGAAGCAATGTGTACTCTTCTGTGCAAAGGCGCAAAATGCGTTACTTTTGCGGCTACCAGCGGAAAGCGATTGTCATAGTACCGGCGGATGAGGAATATATTCAACGTTTACTCACGCACGATGCAGGGAAAAGTATCCCAGATTTGAATCTTATGGAAATGAAAGGTATTATTTGAATTGTATTCTGAACAATATATGTACTATCACAGGATTGTATGTAGATGATTGCGCTATTTGAATATAACGATATTTAATTCAAATTATGTATATCAAGATTTTCTATTTGTCGATATGTAAGTTATAAAACTTAAAATTGTAAATATAAATTTTAAATATAAATGTAATTATATATGTATAAGGTATCTAATAATTTTTTCTCCGATTTGTGGTGTGCAGGTTGGGTGAAATTGAACAGAAAAGTCGTACAATGTTTTGCAAAATTCATAATATCCTGCACACCATGGATTCAAAGATAATCGGACACCACGTATATAAATTTTCTTATACAAGATGTTCGATAATTTTCTTGTGATTCGTGGTGTGCAGGTAGAACGGCTTAGATTGAACAAGAAAATCATTTTACAAAATTCGCAATAGTTAATGAGGAATTAATTAATCTGTACGAGCTAATGAGCGCCTTGGAAGCGGTAAGCCGAACTTTGTGTAAAGAGAAATGGCTTACTTCTGAAGATCTACTAGCAATGATAGATATCAACTGAGAGGCGTGTTTCTTTTCGCCGCGCAGCTCTGTGTGTCACATGCCGTTCACTGCTTACTGTGTTACTTCGTCTTTAGTTGATGCTCATTGCTACTAGATCTTCTCAAGTAAGCCATTTTCTTTATATAGAGTCCGACCTACCGTATCCCATATGCTCTAATTTTTTCATACAGATTAATTAATTCCTTATTAACTATTGCGAATTTTGCAAAGTGATACATGACTTTTCTGTTCAGTTTCATCTGTTCTATCTGCACACCACGAGTCTCGAAAAAATGATTGGACACCTTATATTTAAATAATTTTTAGAAATTATTATATTTTTTTATAAGTTACTTTGTTTTTTAATCCTAGTTATTTATTTTTATAAGTTTTTTTTTTATACAAGTAATTATCTACTTGTATAAATAATTTTTCTAAGTTATTTTCTATAAGTTTTATTCTTAGCCTTTTTAATTATTTTTTATAAGTTATTTTTACACAAATATTTTTTTTACTTATAAAGTTATAAAATTTATTGTAAAATTGCAGCGAACTTTATCGCACCTTCGGTGGGAGAATTTTTCGACGCAGTAGAGTGGGTCGGACTTAATGAGGAGGAGAGTAAGAAACTCATCGAGAAATACAACAAGGAAGGTAAAGAAGCTGGATTCGGCCAGCAACAGCCAGCAAAACGAGCTCGTTTTGACAAGAACGAGGCTGGAAACAGGGAGATACGCGATTCGCGAAATAACAGAGATATACCACGAGATCATCGTGACAGAAGGAACAATTGTAAGTCGATTGTTACTAGCGGCTTTCTTGTCATTAAATATGTCACGATGCCGCTGTTATTGTATCGTGCGTTTGTGATTCAGATCAAGATAGAGGAGGTCGCAATCCTCCTTGGCGCGGTGGCAACAATATGGGAGGTTGGAGAGGAGACAGACCACAAAGGGGCGGATACATGAGACATAGTAGTGGCTATGGTCCTCCTGGTCCATGGAGAATGCGAGGACGAGGTGGGCCCGTGATGCGAGGAGCGGACCGACGAAGCAGCGGTGTTGACAGGAGACAAGGAAATGATAGAAACCGATCTGTTGCGACTAGGCAAGGGGGTTGGAGTCACATGAGGTAAGTTAGCGTTGTTATTTACATTTTTTTTTAATAATGATCTGTGCGTTTACTTGCTTCTGACATCATTAATTAAAATGGCCGCAGGGAGGAAACAGGAGCCTTAATTATCGAACCCTTTGATCTGGCTTCCGGGTTAGTGCTATGTCCTTCATGGATTTGTTTCGTGAACATTTTAGCTTATTTTCATGAAGAAGGAACAATCTGAAAGTCTCTCTCTTCTCCTTCCGTTGCCAATAGATTATTCATTTGAATGCATTTGTCTTCGTTTTAGCGGTAGCTATCAAGGATCACAGCAATCCGGATGGGGCCAACAGGACAATTGGTCTGGCGGCCAATCGCAAAGTAACTGGAATCAGCAAGGTGGATGGGGCCAGCAACAATGGGGGGGAGGTAGTTGGAAAGGATATGGTAGCGCCCAGGGAACATACAGCCATACAGCGGGATATAATCAGCAGCAGGGCTACGGCAATGGCAATTGGAACAGTTGGAACCAGCAGTATTACAACAATCAGTATTGGGGCCAGCAACAACAGAGTGGACAGACCACTGCAGCTGGCAGCCAAGCTGTAAGCAAACAATAATCCACCACGTAAATCTTACGAGAACGGAACAGAGTAAGGTATAGATGATACCCATTTATTCGTATGCATATTAATAACAGAATTCTTGAAGAGAAATGAAAACCTGTTCCTTATCGATCGTTATGTTTTAAAAATACATTTCATTCGGGGGATATATGCAAAATTATATATATTTTTCAACACAATTTAGAGATACGTTGTGAAGATGAAACGTAAATCACGAGAGGGAATTAATAATATCTTTGTAAACTGAAAAAATTTCACTTATAACTCATGTTCTTCTCCTAAGTCTGGCTGCTGGTATAATCGTGTATAAATTTTATATTCACATACGCTTCTACGTTTGCAGGAAATTGCAAGTGAAACGATTGCAGCAACTTCCACGGACACGGGAGCAGGATACAGTTATTCGCAAGGCTGGCAGAGTTACACGCAAGGACGAACCACAGCCGCTCAGAGTGCAGCGACGTCGACCACGCAGCAGTCCCATTCACACAAATAAACAAAAGAGACGTCACGATTACATCATTGCACACGCATTCACAAGTGTTTGAATTTCTTGCAACATGTAAGTGTAATATGGAATATTTACGTCAATACAGCAGTGACTATTTGCCATAGTTATGACAGAGGAACTTGTAGAACGGATTTTTTCTCTTTTCGCGCGCAAAAGCACCATTATCACAAGCACTGTTAAAAGTACTCTTGCGAAAGAAATAGCGATTTTCCTGTCACAAGAAACATCAATTTCTTAGTCCTTAGTTCAATATATTTATTCCAGATATTTATTTGAGAAAATTTTGAGAAGATTATATTATTTGAATTCATATAATAACTATATGTGAAATTTTTTGGATGAGAGTTGTCAATATGTAGGATATTAAGTATCCTGAGAGAAAAATAACATTGAATCAAAGACTAATACGTAATTGATGCTTGCGAACTTCGAAAATCTTTATCGGAGAAACACAGGTCTAATAATCTAAGTGCATTAATGAGATAATGTTAACAGCCGCGAAGCGAGAAAGGATATAACTTTTTCTTGCGCCTTTAGAAGTAACGGCACGCGCAAAGAAAAGGAAGGATACAAAAAAAGAACGTGAGAGGAAGAATATTACGTATGGGTACATAACACGCAAGTAGCATTAGATTGGAAAGAAAGATACTCTTAATTATTAACCGTACATCCTCAGAGAGTTGTGTAAATATGTACAGATTTAAAATAAAAAGGAAGAATAAGAAAAAAGGAAAAAAAGGAAAAGATTAGGCAAAAGAATATTAATGATCTATTTATACAATGGATATTTAGAACTTTCCTGTAGTATTGAAACCTTTAGAGTGAGTGCCCTTTTAGAAAAAGAGAAGAAAGATATACAAGAGAAAATACACACACGCACAACATACACACACACACACACGTACACAGTTTTTATCTTTCCACCTTACTGACGCTGTATGAAAGGAGAATATTATAACGTAAATAAATTATTCTTGGACACTCGTTTTATACCTGCAGGTTACTCATTGCACAAAGTAAACGCGTCAGGCAAAAATTAGCGGAAAATGTATCATCTCTCCCCCTCCCTCCCTTCCTTTTCTCATATAAAGTAGGTTCGTTATATTTGAAAATGACACCGACGTGAGTAAAGTCTTGCTTATAATCATTAGCTTGATTAAACACAATTCCATAATATTTGTATCTATTGTATTTTCTAATTTTCTTTTTTTTCAACGTATGTATTATCTCGGCATTTTTATTCTTCACACGAATGTAATAGAGTTTTGCTGATCAATCCGCCTCTGTCATGCCGCGGGGAGCGACCTTCTCATACGTAATTTAATTTTGAAAATTATTCAATCGCTCAATACGCGATTATATTTGGAATTGTGACTTAAAAGACTTACGATGCATTTGTTACCCTACGTACTTCCTCCGATAGGACAATTCGATTTTCCTTGCTCCATCTCGAAGGAACGAAGATCGAACATCTCGATATCAAGCGACACGATAGCGTTTTATGCAAATTGCGTGCACACATAAAAGTGTATACGAGAGCTGTGTATAATTGTATGTAATACTTGATGTGCATACTTGAACGCAGACAAGATCTTCGTACCGCTGTTCGCGGCCAGACCGGATTGGATTCCGAGTGTGCTCGATTAATTGCTCTCGGAATCCTATTATGTAAGAAAACTGTTTGATCTTTACGGGAATTATCCGTCTATTTGCACTTTGTACACCGATGATATATTTTTATATATATACAGATATCGTTTTCTTAAATATATATGTATATATAATATGTTATACATTATATAATATATTATAATATATATATGTCACACACATATACAATATATTATAATGTAATTTATAATATATTATATAATAAATACATTATGTGATATATAACATTACATATATATGTATGAAATGTTATATATATATATATAACATTACATTGTACATATATTATAATATATGATATATATTATAATATATTACATATATGTGCGCGATATATTTCATCATTGATTCTGAGAATATAATCGCACGATGTAATCATTTATAATTTACGCGTATATTCACTCGATTCACGAAGATTGTACGATTGATAATGCGTCGTAAATCGTCCTCCTGATTGTGTGCTGGTCGAAAACGACGAGTGTCCGAGAGAGAAATCTCTCATGAGCAAAATGGATGATCTGTCTCGTCGCTTCTTTCACTCGCAAAAGATCCTCTTTTTTGTTTTTTATATTACGTTCGCCGAGTAATGATTGTCTCATTAGCTCGTTTCTCCCCCCCCCCCCCCCCCCNNNCCCAACGTATTGTACAGTGTGTGACGTTGTGAGCTACATGTACTTCTGTGTGAATTCAAAAATAATTTAACGATTAAATAACGATACACAGAGTTATAGAGATAATAAGAAAATATTTAGGGAACGAGGACATAAGGAGGGCAAGTGGACGTGTATGTGTGAGAAAGAGAAGCGAGGGTGGGGAACAGAAGCAAGCTATTTTTTAAGAAATAATCAGAAGCTCTATTTAACCCTATTCGTAGTGCATACTAGTACCTCTGTGTTACCATAAGCGAGGAAAACAAAGCCGCACGATGTTCAGTCAGTGGCGCAGGAGTTGCGGCATTCTTTTCCCTTCGTTTCTCTCCAATAAATATGACGACGCGTCTGTACATACATAATAAGAGGGTCGATTGTTCAATATTTCTTGAAAGATTAACTTCCCTTGCGGAAAATATCGGATGCGTTCTGTGGCTCATCGAAGGAGGAATGTTGCGATTTTTGCGCCACTACCAAATTCTATTCGTGGGTCGCACTAGGTAATACGACGATCACACGCGCAGTGATCTTTTTCTATACGACGGAAATAAAAAAAATCAGTATATAATCTATAAACTTAATTGTTGACAAAAATGTACAAACTTATTCATAAAAATAAAAAGGTTCTATTTATTTTGGCTTTCACCTATATTTTACAACCATAGCTCTCGCGTATAATATGCGTGCGTGTGTGTGTACGTGTATGCTGGCCGTATGTGCTATGTAACAATAATTAATGTACTAGGATTGTTCTGTGTATAAGCGGCGATTCAGTCTTGTGTATGTCTAGATCGAGATTCATCGCACGGACATGCCTTTAATACACACCTTCAAAAGGGGGGAACGCACAACAGATCGTTAAGCAATAGTACGCATGGCAGACTATGTAATGTAAGGAAACTTCACTGTATTTTGTGTTTATCAGAGTACAATACAATGGTCTGTACATGCACTATATGAGTAGTCGAAAGCCTGTCGTCGCAATAATAGTTCATTCGTTCTCTCTCTTTCTCATGTTTCGTTTTTTTGATTATATCTAAATATTATAATAGCATATTAATTATATATAAGCGAACTCAAGAGACAAGTTATTACACAGCTACTGTTACGTACGATCAACTGGTATGAGAATGGAAAAAAAGAAAAAAGAATGAAAAAAAAGACAAAAGAAAAATGTCGCTAACGTATTTTCGCTTGTGACGCATTAATATACATATAAGACGTGTATACGACGAGCTGAAAGAAAACGTGAAGGTGAAAAAGGAAAAAATGGTGATTAATGGACGTGCAAGTGTACGCTGCAGTTTAGGTACTTTTTACTCAAGTTGCAGCTTGAACGTGGGGACGATGATTCGATGAGAGAACTTGTTTCCGATTAATTCCCAGAAGTTAAGCTTTCTCATTGAATCATCGGTCATGTTCTAAACTGCAAGTCGAAGGAAAGAAAATGTCCAAACCGTACACTTTAAAATCAAATGTACAAGATTGTTCGATATGAAGGTTGAGTGAGCTTTCTCGCGATCCAGTAACAAAAATATAAGACGGAAGATACTTTAGCCTGAAGCAAACAAGTCAACGAACTTTATCAATCTTTACAAGTACGAAAATACCATGATCTTTTTATTGCGCGCGATAAATTATAGGTCGATCGACTTTGTCATCCTTAATTAATATAACATACGAACCAATGAAATTATCATATGATCGAGACACGTTGCACCGGGCGGAAGCCAACCAGTACAATTATAAATTGTGTGATGATAACTGTTTATATGTAACATAATTGATGAAACAATTTATATATGAGACAATTTATGTGTATAATACGCAATCGCATATTATAATAACAATGTTTTCGACGAAGCTGCCCAACTAAAACTCAATATATTAATACACGTCACTATAGATCCGTTAATGCTGTTATCATGAAACTGAAAGGAAAAAAAAAAATAAAATAAAAAAGGTCCGTCCAGCCGGAACCACGACACATCTGACTCGGATATCGCTACGAACGTGTAATGTAGCGTTCGAATGCATGATAATTAAGCATAGGAAAGTAAAAGGAAAACATAGAAATATATAATATTAGCAAAGCAATTTTGAGTAGCAGGAAATACCTCGGACAGAAAATATACACTTGTGCACAATAATAGTATATAGACGGCGTGTAAGATCGTAACTATATTTTAGAATAAACTGACATATCCCTCTCAATTATTGCCATCGTTGTCTTCGATATCAATATGATACAAATATACTCTATTTTGTCCGTTCTTATAACAGACAAAAATCGTGTCGAAATAATCGAACGAAATGATGCAACCCTCGTGTCATGGAAAAATGCGCGGCAATATCTTGACGCTTCTCCGAAAACCGACAAATGCGCCAAATCAGCATATAACGTTCCGAATCTAATTTAAGAACAGCTCGCACACCGCAGCCCGTATGTTTCTCCCTTTCTCTTATGATACATCTGTTTACGTTAGAAGGCCAGCTTCGAAGTTTAGTATCCCCTTATCTCCTTTCTTCTTTTTCTCTCCCTCTCTTTTATTTTTGGATTACACAATATAATAAATATTTCGATGGTATTAATCGGCGACAAATCGAATGCAAATAGCGCAAGCGCTTGTTGCAAAAAGAAGAGAATTGAGAATAAAGCTATACATTTAATCGAGAAATTAGATTCAATAGATTTATAAGAACTGATCGCAAGTTGCGTAAGAAAAAGAATAAAAAGTTATCAATTGTAATATAAAACAAAGTGAAACATGACACAATGTTATAATATGTCACAAACACACTTCGGTTCTATTTTTGGACCGATTCGTTATTTTGCATCACTAGCTTCTTAATTTTCGATTGTGTTATATCGGTTTGTATAATATTCATATTGCATTGAGAAGTATATTGCATTGTCCAAAAATAAGATCGAACCTTCTATGACATTGTATTATATTTTATATCTTGTTTTATATTGGAGTTGATAATTGATTTTTTGTTCTTTGTCTTACGCATATTTTATTCATTCGCATTTCGGTTCTATCGTAGTCTAATTTCTTGACAAAAAGTGAGGACTGTTATTTAAATAAAATAAATACTTCTCGTATTAATTTCGCGTTCAATATACACCAAAACACATTACTGCACTATTCCTATTATATATAT